ACTTTATCTCCCGTATTGACGTAAAAATAACGGTAAAATCATTAAGTCTATTAACAGCATCAGTACAATTCCCGTACAATTAAACAAAATTTCCACTTGGAAACAATTTTATGAACTGCCAATGCTATTCCACTTTTAAATTTGCAATAAAATAGCGAATCGCATTATAGTCAGGTGGTAAAAAATAGCAAACCGCCCACAGTTACTGTAGTCCCCGGCTAAATCCAGATTTTCCTGACGACTAATTTTTCTCGACGTAAGCGGAACATTTATCTCGGTGGCAAACAAAAAAGGAGCAAGTCTATTTTGTGAAATATTCTCCGATTTTTGCGGCACGTTTTATCAGCGAGAAACAGACGCTCCATTATGCACACGCTAGATGCTAAAGCATCGGGACGCGACCAAGTCGCGAAATACAACTGGCGGCGTGCATAAAGTGCATGAACGTAGACGGAACGAGAAAAACAACGATCGAATCATGCGAACTCGGCGCAGAATCAGCTGATTTCGTTTCACTCTGTTGAACGCACAGAGTACCTTGTGATTCGAACATATATAGAGAGAGAGAGCAGCAACTTGAAAGCGCCCTGTTGCTATTTCTCCTCCTGTTTCGTACACTTGATCCATTCTTCTGCTTTTTATCTGCGAGATGCCAAGAACACCGAGTTCCCTCAATACCGTTCGTCTACGAGAAGAAACTGAGGCACGGTGTTTACGCTCTCACTACATATACTAATTCCCCCACCACCGCACGCATTGTCTTCGTCATCGCCCTCGGCCAATAGCGACATACGCTATACTACGAATGGGCGTATACTCTAACTTCTACATTAAGTGTAGCTTGATTTACAGGTACCTATGTAGTTTGCAATGTTGTACTGAACGTTGAAATTAGTTATTCTCAACAATTCTTTAATTACAATTTATGTAAATATTTACAAACATTTAATTACAATTAAACTTTTGAAGGCTGTGTATGAGTATTGAATATTTGAAGTAGGTTAGTGTTAGTATTGAATTTATGGTATTGGTCATTGAATTTAACGTATATAAGAACGAAGAAAGATATTGCTTGATTTAATATTGATATTACACAAATGTGACCCATATTTTAATAACAGCAAATATTGGAGAGTCCCACGAATTTATTTTAATTTCAAACGTTACAAACACCTCATAACAAAACATTGCAAATCACGAAATTGTTTTTTAATATAAAAATGAACACGTTAAAATGTTACTATACTCCTGCATATATAACATAGCAATAATACAGCAGAAGATTTGCACATAAATAACGTCATCATAATACATATACTTCTCTCCTCTAGAAATACTTCACAATACAAAAATATTAAAAATAAAATAATACACAGCTGCAAAAAATTAATCCAAAATTAACGCCTTTGTTAATTTCCGTTAAATTAATTGATTAATTATCTTTGTTTTCTTCCTTTATTAAATTTCTACGATTTTATAACAACTATTTTCTATTAAATCTGCGTGTGCTTGTCTGTCAAGCTTCTAACAAAAACATTTGACATATTGGACATGAAAGCATAACTAATAGGCCGCGCAATTAATGTCAATCAATTTCGCTAAACGGTATGCACAGCACCCGTAGTGCAAAAATAGGCAAGCGCGCAAAGTAATCAATTGTTGTTCGATTTAATTTTTAAATTGAACATCACTGAAAAGAATATTTTGCTACCATCACTTTCGAAAATAATTATTTCCTTCCACCATTCTGTACCATTTTATTCAATATACTTCAAAAGTTTGTCAATTTGATGTTTTACCGTCCTCACTTTCGAAAACATGTTTCCTTTCTAATCCAGTGTTTTGCACCATTTTATTCAATAGATGTGTATTTCAAAATTTGTCGATTCAATATCTTACTGTCATCCCTTTCGCAAACAATTTTTTTCTAACCGAGAGTTTTGTGTCGTTTAATTTAATATACTTGGAAATTTATCCATTCAATATTTCACTACCATCACTTTGGAAAATATAATTTTTTCCTAACCAAACGTTTTGTACCATTCACTTTAACCCTTTGCACGTAATTACTTCGGAGAACTTTAAAATGTAAAATTCAGGTTTTTGTATTTTACCAAAATAATGCAAATTAACATAAGAAGTAGAAACAAGAAAATTCATAGATATTAAAAATCCTTCGTTTTCCAAAACAAAGCTTTGGATTTCCAGAAGTATCACTATTAATCTTATCGAAAAATGCTTCGAGTACAAATACTTCACGATATACTTCAAAATTTGTCGACTCGATATTTTACCATTCGTCGTATTGTTCGTTCGATTAAAACAAACTCATTTGCAATAACAAATCTCACTACAGAAATTTCCAAAGATACGTAACCAGCACAGCAGAGAACACAATGGACGCAGAATCGAAGTGAAAAGCCTTAACACGCCATTGAAATTGATGAGAACGTTGTAACCATTGTCGCGGCCGTTAATAAACGTAGATAAATACATTCCGGAAAGCAGAACGTCACGAAATCTCAGCGGCTACACAGCGTAGTTATTCACACATAAATTAGAAGCGTGAAATGAATACCGAGGGTGTGTTTAATTAAATTTGTGTCATGATGTACGTGCCAGTTATTACAAACCGCTCCCGCAAGAGCTCCCCTTGAGTAAAATTACGTGTTTATAAGTTTTTCCTCTATTAATATCTCCTTAGCAGGACCATCCAGCAGCGCGTTAATTTATTCTTACGGAAATTTAAGCAAAGCAGAGGGCGGATGGGG